TTTCTTCTTCAGTTTCGTGTTCTTAATCTTCATCTTTTTTTTTTTACTTGTCTCTTTTACTTATTTTTTTTACTTATACGTCATTATTCTTTTCGTTTCTTTGGGTGCCTTTCTTTTTTCTTTTCTTCTTCATTTACACTTTCCCCATTTTATTATCGTTTATCAGTCGTCTCTCTCCATCTACTCTTTCTTCATTTTTTCTGGTGTAGTGTAGCAGTCGTCCCTCTCCATCTCTTAGTTCCAAAATCCTATTATTGATTAACGAATTCCTTTATTTCCGTTAATCACCTTCAACGGTAAAAAAAAAAAAAAAAAAAAAAAAAAAAAAAAAAAAAAAAAAAAAAAATTGATAAGAAAAACTACTGTTATCCCTTTGATCTCGTGCTTCAGGAACTCTGAACGAAAATTAACTCCCTCAACTCATGTTTCAGAAAGCGTGATTTTTTTCTCTTCTTTTTTTGCTAATTTACATTCTTTCTTGCATTTTATATCCCTTGCTAATAGCTCCCCGGCTTGCAGCATTGCACACTCGCTTAATGGGCTTGGGTATGTCTCCATTAGCGGGAGAATTGTTATACAGTAATAGATATTCTTGTTGGATTGCTGTGGTCTCCGGGTGCTTAATGTTTTATTTAGGGTTGGAGTGTAAAGTTAATTGGAAACGATTCGTGTTGCGCAAGTGTGTTTTGGTGTGATTTTGTTTTTGTTGTTTATTGTGGTTCTTCGTCTTGTTCTTTTTCTCCTTTTCTCTATTTTTTTCTCTCTCGGTTCTCTTGATGCTTCTCTCTCTCTTCTCTCTCTCTCTCTCTCTCTCTCTCTCTCTCTCTCTCTCTCTCTCTCTCTCTCTCTCTCTCTCTCTCTCTCTCTCTCTCTCTCTCCTCTCTTCTCCCTCTCCTCTCTCTCTCTCCCTTCCCTCTCTCTCGTCTGTCTGTCTGTCTGTCTTGTTATCTCTTTGTGTATTGTTTTTACTTTTTATTCACTTTTCCCTCTAGAGAAGGCATGAATGAGAATGAATATCTTCACAATACAAGAGTTTTAACCGGTTTCCATCTTCGTCAGAAATATATGACGAAGATATAATCGAAACGGGTTTAAAAACATCTCTTGTATTGTGAAGATATCCAATCTCATTCATACCTTCTCTGCTTATGTCACAGAGAATATTGTTTTTTTTTTTTTCTCTCTCTCTCTTTCGCTTTTTCTCACTCCTTTTGCCTCATTTTCTTTTCCCCATTGTCTTTCCCCCTTCCTTTAGCCCTACCACTCTTCCTTCCATCTCTCCCTCCGTTTTCCCTTTTTCCCTTTATTCCCCACCCCCCTTCCACGCCCTATATCGCCCTCCAGTTCTCCCTCCCTTCCTACTTCGCCCCTCCCTCTCCCCCTCTTTGTCTCCCTCTCCCTCCATCACTCTCTCCCTCTCCCCTTCCCACCCTCCTCCCCTCCCTCTATCCCTCTCCCCCTCCCCCTCCCTCCCACTCCCTTCCCCTCCCATTCTCCTCCATCCCTCCCTCTCCCCTTTCTTCCTCCCTCCCTCCCTTTCTCCTTCCCTCCCTCCTCCCTTCCCCCCCCTCCCTCTCAGCACCCTCTTTCCTCTCATTGAACAACAATTTGCCAGTAAACGACCCATTCATATCAAATTCAAGTGATTCAACCTTGTAGCGGAAACCCAAACTATCACTGTCGAACATAATTACTGTGGCGTGATTAACCGGTCTCACATATGGCACTAACGATTATTATATCCGTTGATAATTTTGCCGCACAATGGCATGGTCACAGATGCGTACGTACGTATATGCACACGCACACGTATACTCTGTGCACATGGAGAAAGAAAATACGAATATGTATATGTAACTACATTCCACCTATATACGCGCTCGCATACACACACAACCATGTACACACACACATGCATGTACACACACACACTCACACACACACAGATAAACAGAGAAACATCACAAAACAGACAAACCGTACACAAACGTATATAATACAGCACACATACAAAAAGGTGTAAAATCCATGTTATTATATGTAATTTTACAATACATTTTATTCTCACCATATTGACTCTCCCACAAGTGTTATGACTCACGCTTCTCTGTTATATGGAGTTGATGTGACGTGACCACATCAAAGTACGTGAAAAAAAAAAAAAAAAAAAAAAAAAAAAAAAAAGAGAGAGAGAGAGAGAGAGAGAGAGAGAGAGAGAAGAGAGAGAGAGAGAGAGAGAGAGAGAGAAGAAAGTTAAAAAAAGGTTTTAAAACATCAGATTATCAGATATGTGGAGTGTAAACATACATAAAAAATAAACTGATTCAAAATTTAACGTATGTTGCACATGAGGTAAATACTGAATAAAATAAAACCTCGGTGACTGCGACAATTAGACGAATTAACAGGTAGAAAATTACCGCCGTGGAAGTGATTCCCGAGAGTTAGTCTAGTGAATTAATTGATTCTTCTGTTCTCAGATTATCTAACAAAAGGGGCAAGGTAATTCTAGGCCACACAGCTTACAAAGGCCGTAAATCCTTAGATACGCTACGGCCGCGCGACCTTACGGACTCTCCTATACGGCGAATAACCGGCAGCTGCTAGACCGGCAGCAATTTGCTCTCTCATGAAAATTTATATGATGATAAACTACGCTAGTGATTGCATGAACTGTAGTGCGCGATTTTGTATTGTATTCGTCGAGCTTTGGAAGTCTTCGTGCATCGTGCAACCCAAATCGCGTCCCAAGGTTGCCACGATGCGCGATGAGTAGCGTTTTTTTTTCGAGGTTAAGCAACGAAAAACTACGACTCCGAAGAGACGTTATTACCTGTATTTATCCTAATTGTTCTTCATTATAGTATTCTCAGATACTTCATCGTTAAGCTTACGTGATGTAAAACCTCAATTAACATTCGTACGGCGCAGCACCACGCAACTTGTCATTCTGTTTATAGATTCCGCGAGGTCTGCGCCGCGGGCCTCGGTATTATTGTATGTTCAGCGTATCATAGTTATGGGCTTATAATGGGACTCCCCCTGCACCTGTCAGACCCCTGCTATGGGTTAAGTGTTGGGTCAGACCCCCCCATGCGAGGCCGGTTCCCCCCCTCGCCTCCCTACCCCCTTCCTCGCCCCTCCTGGCTTGGCTATGACGTCATCACCTTTTCCCGCGCGTTAGGATGCCTTCAAGAGACGCGGAGTTGACAGAGAGCGCAGTACATCAGGCCCTGGGGGGGGGGGGAGATGCTATCTTTTAAAGCACCGTGGAACTGGTTGGTGTTCACGGTTTTGTTCAGAGCTTTCGGATGGATTGGGAACGTTCCGATTGTTGTGAACTGTGGTGAACTTTTTATTTTTATTTATTTATTTTTTTATTTTTTTTTTTTGGGGACAATCGGTTGGAGGGTTGCTGTCTGCTGTCGATTGGATAAATCTGCCTTACGTAATAGATTGAGGTGGTTTTGGTTGTTCTTTAAGACATCGGTTACATCTGAAATTCATGAGGATTCTCTCTCTCTCTCTCCTCTCTCTCTCTCTTCTCTCTCTTTCTCTCTTCTCTTCTCCTCTCTCTCTTCTCTCTCCCTCTCTCTCTCTCTCTCTCTCCTTCTCTCTTCTCTCCCTCTCTCTCTCTCTCTCTCTCTCTCTCTCTCTCTCTCTCTCTCTCTCTCTCTCTCTCTCTCTCTCTCCTCTCTCTCTCTCTCTCTCTTCTCTCTCTCTCTCTCCTCTCCTCTCTCCTCTCACCCTCTCACTCTCACTCACTCACTCACTCACTCACTCACTCACTCACTCACTCACACACACACACACACACACACACACACACACACACACACACACACACACACACACACACACACACACACACACACACACACACACCCTTGGAGTCTTGCGTGTCACCAAGCAAACATCTGCTTACATCATATTTTAGACGAAAATTGGACTATATTACGGTCTAAATTGACGATACTTTTAGCCTCCAAAATTAGGTTGAAAATGGATGAATATTGAGCTAAATTTGCTTTATAATTAATTCTGATTGTTACAGATTAGGCTAAAGATACATGTGTTGGATAATTAGAGTTGCATTTGCTTTATAATTTATGACTGATTCTGGTTGTCCTGGATTAGTATCAAGATGATGTACCGCATATTGATAACTAGATGTATTTATGAGTAGTTAATTCAAAGTGTCAAATTAAGGATAAAACGTTCGTGCTTTATAATTTATAATTAGTTCCATAGATTGAACTTGCTCTGCATCTTAATTTTAGATTTAACTAAATTAGGTTTAAAATAACATTTGTTGGATTAATGAGAGTTACATCAGCTCTATAATTTATGATGAATGAATTTAGATTGTTATGAATTAAAGTCAAGATGCGTGTGTTGTAGAATGAAAGATATTTTGGCTTTACAATTTATAAGTAATTAATTTCGATTATTGTAAATTAAGGCCAAGATGCATAAGCTGGATAAAGAGAGCTACACCTGCTCTATAGTTTGTGATTAATCCAGATTTCTGATCTATAACTTGTCAAAATTAGGACCAGATTTTTTGTTTGGATTACATATATCATATTTATTATGACTCATTGTTATGAATTAAGCTCAAGATGCTTGAGCGCTCTATTGGCTTTACAATCTATAATTAATTTCTGTTGATTTGAATTAGGATAAGGAGAGCTTTATCTGCTCCAGGATCTATATTTAATCCTTCCAGACGTGCTCACAGGGTCGTCTTTTATTAAAATTAGAATAAGGGAGCTCTAATTCCTGATTAACCGCTTTTGTCGCTCCAGGATCTATATTTAATCCTTCCAGACGTGCTCACAGGGTCGTCTCCTATTATAAATTAGGATAACGAGAGCTTGATCTGCTCTAAGATCTGGATTTAAACCTTCCAGACGCTCTCAAAGGATCGTCTTTTGTTATAAATTAGGATAAGGAGAGTTCTATAATTCGTAACTAATCGCTGTGGTCGTTCCTTGCAGACGTGCTCACAGGGTCGTCTGCTGGAGATGGGCGAGCAGACCCACCTGGGCTTGATGGCCGGGCGCGACACCCCCCTCAAGGCCGAGGTCGACGACTACGAAATGGTCAGCCTCGAGAACGGGCGCGAGAGTCCTTCGTCGCTCAAGAACAGCCCCGAGGAAGGGCGCCACGACCACCACGCGGGCGTCGGCGCTGATAGTGGGCGGGACAGCCCCCTCAAGCCTGACAGCGAGGGCATGGTTCTCGAGGGCGAGGACGTGCTGGCGAAGCTTCGAGAACAAGTGTCTTCGGCTAAGCTCCTGACTCAGGGCATCAGCAACAATAACCACATCAACAGCTTGTACGACCGCCTTCATACCCTCCTCCAGGGGAAGATGGCCAAGGGGGTGAGTCCTAGGGGGCAGGGGGGGGCTGTTGACTTTTTTTTTTCTTTTTTTTTTTTACTTATCTGGGAGGAGAAGGGGGGTGTGATTTTTTTTTCTTTTTTTTTACTTGTCTGTTGTGTATATATTTTTGGCGTTTGGAGACTTTGGTGTGTATTTGTTCTTCTTTTGACACTTATATGCTTCCTCACTTTTGACACTTGGAACTTACCTGCTGTTACGCTTTTGACACTTGCTTGCCACTGCACTTTTGAGTCGGCACTTACTGTTATACTTCTTATATCTACACTTTTGACACTTACTTGCTGCCTCATTCTTTTACACTTTTAACACTTGACAATTGACTCATGGCACACTTTTGACACTAGGTGTTTCATTTCTGACATTTGACATTTGCCTGCATCCACGCTCTTGTCACTTAACCTGCCGCTATATTTTCCGACTTTTGACATCTTCGATACTTACCTGCATCTACATTTTGACACTTGTTGCCACACTTTTGACACGGTACTTGCTTGCTGCTACACGTGTGACACGGCACTTTCGACGCTTACCTGCTGCCCCATTTTTAACAACTTGCTCATGGAACTTACCTTTAAACACACTTGATTGCTGACACACATTTGACCCTAATCTGCTGAAACTTTGGACACTTGATAGTTACCTGTTGACACACCTTTGATACACTTTGGACTTTTATCTGCTACCACACTTTTGACACGGCATTTTTGACACTTTTTTGCCACAAATTAGACACGACACTTTTGATATAGTCTTCGACGTTTCGACACAGCCAAGCATTTAACCACAAATCACAAACACTTAAAAAGATCATTTGACTAAGTGTCCAAGAGAACTCAAAAGTTGCTGACGTTGTTCATGCAAAAGTTGTTCATGATTAGAGAAGGTGAAGCGGGGCGTGTCTATTTCACACCTCATGGTAATTAACGAGTAAAGGTGTTCATGAACTCTGCAGGTAATCATTTTCGAACACCTTGGTACAGTTGGGGGAAAATGGACATATCTCAGCCAAGCATAATTTTAGTTTTAGTTTCTGAGCAATTATTTGAACAGTGGAAATGAAATAGTTTAGTGGAATTAGGTGCTTTAATGTGAACAGTTCGATGTGGAAATGGGGTCCATATAAATGCTAGATAGAGGTCAATAGAAGGTCATTTTGATGGGAAACTGCGGTAAGAACAACCACTTAGAATTAAAAATGGAGAACTATTTTTAAAAAGTGACGATTTTGTGTGAGATTCTCAGTATTACTTTATAAATTTAACATATAATAAAGTATATATATGCGATGTAAAAGTGCAGATAAGTATTACATCTAGATATGCAAACTATATGCAAATACCCTCGCTGACAAGGACTCGAACCCAGTCACTTCAGGTAGCAACCAGAGAGAACGGTCTTGTGTCTTAGTTCCGTTCTCTCTGGGCGTTCCCTTGGGTTCCCTTGGGTGCCCAGGTTCGAGTCCTTGTCCACGGAACGTATTTGCATATTGGGTATACGGTCCTGGAAAGTGTGATAGACTTGGTATGAGGTACTGGAAGGTGGGGCAGATTTGGTATGAGGTACTGGAAGGTGGGGCAGAGTTAGTATGAAGTACTGGGAATTGTGAAAGACATGGTATGAGGTACTGGAAAGTGCGATAGACTGGGTATGAGGTACTGGGAATTGTGACAGACCTGGTATAAGGTACTGGAAGGCGAGACAGTCTTAGTATTAGGTACTAAAAATTGAGACAGACATGGTATGAGGTACTGGGAAATGTGGTAGACTAGGTAAAAGGCACTAAAAAGTGGGGAAGATTTGGTATAAGATACTGTAGGTGGGACAGACATGGTATAAGATACTAGGAAATATGAAAGGCTTTGCATTAGGTACCGTATTGTACTCATAGAACAATCAAATCTCAACCCATTAGAAAATGCGACAGACATGGTATAAGGTAGTGGAAGATAGGACGGTATAAGATCCAGGAAAATGTGACAGATTTGGTATAAGCTCCTAGCAAATTTGACAGACCTGGTATAAAGTCCTGGTATATTTGACAGACGTGGTTTAATGGAATCTTTGAATATCAGAATCTAGAAATGATTAGATAATGACAGACAACACGAGGAGATTAGCGTCCAAAAGTGAAAGTCATAGAACCACTAAGTTTAAAGATGCATTGGAGGAACAGCTGAAAAATTTGATGCGTTGCGAAAAAAAATGGAGATAGATGGGATATGAAGAATTCGTGTATAATATGGATATTCGTATTAGGAATAAAGAAGAGAGAATTAATATGATGGAATGGTGATGTCAACTATGATGATAATACTTTTGATGATGGCGATGATTTTATTGATAATAATAGTTATGATAATAACAATAATGAAAACTGAAAATAATGATGATGATTATAATGATAATAATGATGGTATATAATGTAAAACAACAGTGATAGAAATAATAGTAATAGTAATAGTCAAAGTAGTATTATCAATAATGAGGATTATAATGATAATGATAATGATTGTTGTGATAAAAATAATAATGATAATGATCATTGTAATAATGAAAATGAATTATCATTGTTAATAATAACGATAATGACAAAAGTGACAGTAATACTGATAATAATGATGATAATAATAACGACAGCAATGATAATTATGACAATCACCATTATTACTAGAAGAAAAACCCTATGTAGTAAGTGAAGTAGAACCAGAACCACGAAGTCGCCAGGAAAGGAGAGTTAGCGCCTGAAAACACTCTACTGACTGGCCGTAGCCCGATAGACAGGTCGAGGTCCATAAAAGCTAATGGTCCCCGACATTAGCGAATATAAAGGTACGCCGGTTTTATAATCCGTGATGGTGGCAGCGGTGGGAGAAGTGGATGTCGAGTGAGTGGTTGTATTGTGGTTGTTCGGGTTGTGGTTGGGGGAAAAAGAGGTGGTAGGTTGTGGAAAAGGGTGGTAGGTGGATGGTGTACTGAGGAAGAGAGGGGGGAGGAATAAAGAAGTAGATGGGAAAGAGTCGACAGGTGATAGGTAACGCTATCGGGGTTGGAGGCGTTAATTCAACACGGCATCAACTAAATTACACGTAATAAAGTGTTTTTTTTCTGATTTTTTTTTTATTCGTCATCGTGTTGAACAAAAGCTCGAGGGATAACTTGATAATAAAACTTACTTTGACAATGGCTTCGTTTCTCTGGGTATCTGTCTGTCTGTCTGTCTTTTCTCGTCTCTTCTATTTTCTTCTCTCTCTTTTGCCTTGTCATTCATCGGTCTCTCTCTCTATCTTTGTGTGTATGTGTGTCTTCTCTTCGCTTCGCATTCTTCTTTCTCTCTCTTTCCCTCTGTGTGTGTGTCTTCTCTTTGCTTCGCGTCTCTCTCTCTGTCTTTCTCTCTCTTTCCCTCTTCTCTCTCTCTCTCTTTTTGTGTCTCTCTCCCTCTCCCTCCCGCCCTCCCTCCCTCTCTCGCTCCATCCCTCTATTGACTGAATTGTATGTGAAGAGGATGATTATAGTAATGCTGATAATGATTAAAAAAAAAAAAAAAAAAAAAAAAAAAAAAAAAATATATATATATATATATATTATATATATATATATATAATATATATATATATATATATGAGACATGGCAGATCGGCTCACTATGTTTAAATTTTTATCTACTAATTCCGAAAATTGGATTTTCTTGTTATTTTATTTATTTTATTTATTTTGATTGCTATTCGTATTTATTGTTCAACTTAAGTTCGTTGTTTGGTATATGTTTATTTTCTAACATTTGTTATATATTGACCATGTCTGATAGTGCATTATTATCAGTGTTGTTATTATAATCATCATTATTTTTATTATTATTTAACACGTGTAGCATCGTGAGTATGATAAGAGGGAGGGGTGGGGGGGGCAGACAACGTGTGAGTAACGTATGAAGAGAAGGTATGAATGACAGTTTATAAATGGAAACACTGTTACAGTATGAGCTGAATAATACTCTCTCTCTCTCTATGTCTCTCTTTATTGTTTCCATCGTGGCAATGTTTCATTTCATCTTCGTGTAGACGTTGCTGTAATAATGTCCGAGATTTTGTAATTTCTCACAATATGGCATATGATTCATACATTTCGACGATGAATATTTAATCGAAATGCTTTATCTTCAAAGTTCTTTATTTTCATTCATTACCTTTTCTACACTTGGGAGGTGACAACGTGGGGCGGGACTTGCAATGTATGGTCAGGCTGGTAGCGCGCCGTGAGTGACAGTGGGCGTGTTGTGGGTTCCGCTGGTGGATGGGCGCGTGAATGGGCGGCGGGGAAACAGGCTTGTGGGTTCCGCTTATTGAGCGAATGAGAAGGACTCCGCTGCTCGGGGCTCCTTCGGGTGTGCAGGCTTCGAGCGGGGAAGGGCAAGGGGTAAGGGGACGGAGTGTGAGGATTGGAGACAGAGGTCGTGGTAGAAAGACTGCGGTTTACTGGCTGGTGCGACTTGGCTTCAGATCAGTTGCATCTTTCCCTCTCTCCTTCCTCTTAACTTTCACTGACGCTGTGCTTCTTTCCCCGCCAGGAGGACGGCGAGGGGGGCGAGGACTCGC